TTTAGCAGATTCATTGTTTTCGCTGTCGTACCGTTCTTGACGACATCAGAGGTCCCTCAGACCGCCCCAAGACGGCTCAAGAGGCGCCCCCGAGGGCCCCAAGACGGCCCAAAAGAGCCCCAGGACGGCCCAAGAGGCGCCCAAGACGGCCCAAACGGGCCCCCAAAGGCGCCCAAGAGAAGCCCAAGATTGGGAAATCCAACCGACAATTCGAGCTTTCCGCCACAAGAGGCGCCCGGGAGGCCCCAAGAGGCCCCGAGGAAGCCCTAAGAGGCCTCCAAGAGGCCACCCAGACGCCGCAAGAAGGCCCCACGAGGACCCCCGAGAGAACCCTGAGAGCCAAAAACTGTTTATTTTCCGTAGATGTTCGAAGGATTTGTGTCATCTCGCCTTCTCGGGTTCCCGACGCGCGAAAACAGCCCAAGAGGCCCCCAAGATCGACCCAAGGAAGCCCGGTCCAGGGGTCTCTAGCGACGCACGGTGCGTTTTAAATTGCCCCGGAGGCCCCCAAGACGCCCCAAGAGGCCTTTGAGATGCCGCCCAAGAGCGCCCCGAGAGGGCAAGATCGTTGATTCCTATTTGTAGTGGTTAAATGTTGTTTGTATTCTCGCTGTTTCGTGTTTCCGGCGCTAAAGCACCGCCCGAGAGGCTCCCAAAACCGCTCCAAGACGGCCAAGACGGCGTACCAGGCGCCCTCAAGTCGGGCCTCCACGCAGCCAATACGGCCAATGACGGCTTCAGATTGCAGAACATCACCTTCCGATTGCCCAGAGAACCCCGACGATGCTCACAAGGGGCCCCAAGAAGCCCCAAGTTGCCCCCCCAAAAGCACCCAAGAGGTGCCTCCAACAGCAAGTTGAGGAAGCACGGAGAACCCCCAAGAAGCCCGTCAGATGCCCCCCGAAGACCCAAGAGGCCCTCAGGAGGCACGACTATGTCACACGCCCGTGCTTGATAGCGCTGTCCAAGATCTTCCAGCGCCCCCCCAGCCTGGGCTAGAGCTTGAGCGCCCGCGAAGCGCGCGCGATGGTTCTAGTATGTATATATATATGTGAGAGAGAGAGGGAGAGAAAGAGAGAGAGAGAGAGAAAAGAGAGAGAGAGAGAGAGAAAGAGAGAGAGAGGGCCCGGGGGCACCAGAGTGCACTCACTGATTTATCTTCGGGCGTTTCGGGCCTGTCGGGGGCGCTAAAACGCATCAAAGGAGTGGAAGGGGGACGACGAGAGGGCCCGAGAGACGTCCAAGAGGGCGCCAAGATGGCCCAAGAGCGCTCCAAGAGAGCCCAAAACCGCACGATAGCGTTTCAAACTTGGTCCAATATGGCTTGAAGACAGCCCAAGCGGGCTTCAAGACGGCCAATATGCCTTCAAAAAGGCTGCAACGAGGAACTCAGGAGGCGACAAACGTTGTGTTTGTTCAGATTGTCCGTGTTCTCGCTGTGTCGTGCTTCCGACGGTCCAAGACAGCCCCGAGGCTGCAGAAATCAGCTCAAGACAGCCCAAGAGGCACCCAAAGAGGGCGCCACGACGGCGCAAGAGAACTCCAAGACGGCGCAAGAGTGCCTCAGACGGCCCAAGACGCGCCCAAGATCGCCCAAGAGGGCCCCAAGACGGCCCCAAGAGGGGCCCAAGAGGGGGAACACGATCCGGCAATTCGAATCTTCCGCCCCAAGAGGCCCCCAGGAGGTCCCAAGAGGCCCCCAAGAGAGCCCAAGAGGCACCCTAGAGGTCCCACGAGGCCTCAAAGAGGCCCAAAAAGAGGCCCCAAGAGCACCCCGACCGGCCCCCAAGAGGCCTCCGAAACTGTCTTCAAGAGGCCCCCGTGAGGCCTCCCACGAATTCCAAACGAATGTCCAAGAGACCTCTAACCCACAACACAGGCATGGTGGCACGATGGGCCGGAGGCTACTAGATGGTCCAAGACGGCCTCCAGACGGCTCAAGAGGCCCCCAAGATACCCAAGAGGCTTCCAAGAGGTCTCCCAACAGAGCTCGAAGAGGCCAAACAACATTTATGGTCCGTAGGTTTTGAACAATTCTAGCGTTTCCGCCTGTTCCGCTTCCCGACGCTGCAAAACGCCCCAAGAGGCTCCGAGGATCGCCCCAAGACTGCCCAACAGGCTTCAAAAGCGCCCCAAGACGGCCCAATAGGCTTCAAAAGCCCCGAAGAGACGTCCAAGTCGGCCTGAGAGGGCCCCAACCGCGGCCCAGGATCGAGAACGTGAACCGAGAACCCGAGATCTTCGCACCAGGAGACCCCCAGGAGGATTCAAGAGGTCCCAAGGAAGCCCCAAAGAGGCCCAAAAGAGCCCCGAGAGAGGCCCAGAAGGCATTGAGGAAAACGGGAATTCCAACATCTTGGTTTAAGGTTCGCCTGACAGCTTCGCTACGCTTGCAAAAAGGAAACATCAGATATCCTCCTCCTCCTCCTCCTCATCCTCCTCCACCTCCTCCTCCTCCTCCTCCTCCTCCTCTGAGGCCTCCTCCACCCTCCCCTAATCCTCCTCATCCTCCTTCTCCTTCTCCAGCAGGGAACCCCTTCACACCCCCTTCACCTCCCCCTCTCCTCCCTCTTCCTCCGGCTACGTCCAGCCGCGGCGCATAAAAGGGCCCCCGAAGTGCCTTTTGGGCCTGTCTTAGGCCGTCGTGGGTGGACCGTAAAATTATCCTGGCGAAGGACCCAACCATAAGCAATTGTTCGTAACGCGTTGTGGGTGCCGCTTTCGGTGGGGCTCCTATGGGGCCACGAAGCGTTGCCCTGGGTGGGGGAACCGCATGCGGACTGCGCCACTGGGGCCTTCGGTGGAGCTCCCTATGGGGCCACGGAGCGCTGCCCTGGGCGGGGGAACCGCATGCGAGAGCAGCCACTGGGGCCTTCGGTGGAGCTCCCTATGGGGCCACGAAGCGCTGCCCTGGGTGGGAGAACATGCGAACTGCGCCACGGGGGCCTTCGGTGGAGCTCCCTATGGGGCCACGAAGCGTTGCCCTGGGTGGGGGAACCCGATGCGAACTGCGCCATTGGGGCCTTCGGTGGAGCTCACCATGGGGCCACGAAACGCTGCCTTGGGCGGGGGAACCGCATGCGAACTGCGCCACTGGGGTTCGGTGGAACTCCCTATGGTGCCACGAAGCGCTGCCCTGGGCACGGGAACCGCATGCGAACTGCCCCACTGGGGCTTTCGGTGGAGCTCCCTATGGGGCCACGAAGCGCTGCCCTGGGCTGGTGGGGGAAACGCATGCGAACTGCCCCACTGGGGCCTCCGGTGGAGCTCCCTATGGGGCCACGAAGCGCTGCCTTGGGCGGGGGAAACGCATGCGAACTGCGCCACTGGGGCCTTCGGTGGAGCTCCCCATGGGGCCACGAAGCGCTGTCTTGGGCGGGGAAACCGCATGCGAGAGCAGCCACTGGGGCCTTCGGTGGAGCTCCCTATGGGGCCACGAAGCGCTGCCTGGGGGTGGGGGAACGCATGCGAGAGCTGGGGCCTTCGGTGGAGCTCCCTATGGGGCCACGAAGCGTTGCCTTGGGCGGGGGAACAGCATGCGAGAGCAGCCACTGGGGCCTTCGGTGGAGCTCCCCATGGGGCCACGAAGCGCTGCCCTGGGTGGGGGAAGCGCATGCGAGAGCAGCCACTGGGGCCTTCGGTGGAGCTCCTTATGGGGCCAAAAAAACGTTGCCCTGGGTGGGGGAACGCATGCGAGAGCAGCCGCTGGGGCCTTCGGTGGAGCTCCCTTATGGGGCCACGAAGCGCTGCCTTGGGCGGGGGAACCGCATGCGAGAGCAACCACTGGGGCCTTCGGTGAGGCTCCCTGTAGGGCCACGAAGCGCTGCCCTGGGCGGGGGAACCGCATGCGAGAGCAGCCGCTGGGGCCTTCGGTGGAGCTCCCTATGGGGCCACGAAACGCTGCCCTGGGTGGGGGAACGCATGCGAGAGCAGCCACTGGGGCCTTCGGTGGAGCTCCCTATGCGGGCCACGAAACGCGCCCTGGGTGGGGGAACCGCATGCGAGAGCAGCCGCTGGGGCCTTCGGTGGAGCTCCCAGGGGCCACGAAACGCTGCCCTGGGTAGGGGGAACCGCATGCGAGAGCAGCCACTGGGGCCTTCAGTGGAGCTCCCTATTGGGGCCACGAAGCGCTGCCCTGGGTGGGGGATGCCCATGCGAGAGCAGCCGCTGGGGCCTTCGGTGGAGTTCCCTATGGGGCCACGAAGCGCTGCGTTGGGCGGGGGAACCGCATGCGAGAGCAGCCACTGGGGCCTTCGGTGGAGCTCCATATGGGGCCACGAAACGCTGCCCTGGGTGGGGGAACCGCATGTAAGGAGGAGGGAGGAGGGGGAGGAGGAGGAGGGAAGGTGGGACGCGGGGCGCTGTTTCTTCAAAACGAGGACCCAACACCACAGGATGGTTGGGAAAAAGCCTTGGAAGCCAGTTGGGCCGTCCTCGTGGTTCTTGGAAACCCCTTAGAAGAAGTGTCATGGAATAGAGATCCCCAAGAGTTCGACCATCCAGCCTAGCTCGAACTTGAGCGCGCGCGATGCGCGCGATGGTTCTAGCGTGTGTGTATAGATAGATATATGGCAGAGGCCCGTTTATGTAGGCAGCCGCTTTGGAGCCTTTCGTGCTCTCGCTGTGGTCTTCGCTCCCTGTGGTCTGAGCCATAGGGGTTCTTCGCATTGCCCCCCCCCCCCCGTGTGGTCTGATAGAGTCGGGTTCTTCTCAGCAGATGCCTGTTATGCAGGCAGCCGCCATTGGATGAGTTTTTCCTTGGGAGCTGATGCCCACGCTGCGCTGCTGCGAGCAAACAGGGCAAGACCCCCAAGGGCACCGTAGAGGGACCAATGGGGCCCCGAGACGGCCCACGAACTCTCTGAGGTGGCCCAGAAAGCTTCAACACGGCTCAGGAGGCTTGCAATACGCCCCAGAAGCGCTCCGGGAGCCCCCCAAGATGACCCAAAGAGGACCAACAAGGGCGTGTAATTCTAGCATTATCCGCTTCCGGGCTCAAACGGCGTCCGAGACGGCTCAAGAGTCCCAAGATTGTTCCTCCGTCGCCTTGTTGGCTCAAGTCACATCGGCCCAAGGCCCAAGCTTTCGCCGCTCACAAGAAATCTGCGGCGTTCGCTACAAGAGTTCGCGCTTTGCCGCTTAGTTGCGGTCGGTGCCATGATTTTTGTGGTTTTCGCAGCTCTCGCGCTCCTTGCTCGTACTTCCCTCGCAGATCGCGGGAACCTTGCCCTGGAGCTCGGTGGAGGTGCGCACACGAGGGTGGTGAAGGCCCACACGGCCCAGGAGCTGTCCGAGATCAAAGACCAGCTCCGCCAGCTGCAGGAGCGGGTTGACCGCCTGGAGGCCGAGCAGGCGGACGAGGCTGCCGAGGTCCAGAGCGCTCACACGACGGTCCAGACAAACTGCAAAAACTGCAGGACCAGGAAGTTCAGGCTGTACCTCGCCCAGACCGGCGCTGCGCTCACCGTCGGTACAGTCGGCACCGTGGCCAGCGTGTTGGGCACGCCCATCGCGGGTGTTGCCGCTGGAGGCGGTACCGCAGCTGTCACGTCCGGAATGCTCGTAAAGTACACGACGAAGCTCACCAAGAAGTACCCGTGCTTGAAGGAAAAGGCTAAACAAGAGCAGATGCTGGCGGATCTGAAAGCCGATATCATGAAGGAGATTGACGCGAGGGACAGGGCCAAAGCAGAAGCGGAACTCGAGACAGCAAAGGTCGACCAGGATGAAAGCGAGTGCGTGGCGCTGTGAGCGGGGACTTGCGAGTAATTCGTATCGGGGCAGCCAGGGGCCTGCAGCTTCTGCTGAGGAGCAGCAGACCCTAGCCTAGGAGGAGCTGCAGACCCTAGCCTAGGAGGTACGTCCGGCGCCCCAGGGGCGCAACCAGCCTGCCCGCAGTGGCGCAGAGCATCGGCGCGCTCTCCGCCATCCACCAGAGTATCAGACCTTTTGATGACGCTCAGGATCTGCTTTCTGCCTTTCTTCTGAACGCAAAAGAATCCCAAGACTGTCCAAGAGGCGCCCCAGACGCCCGAAGAGGGCCCCAGGAGGAGCTCAACGCTTCCCCAAGAGGGGGAGCGCGAACCGACATGTAGAGCTCTCCGCCCCAATAGGACACCCGAGACAGTCAGCAAGCCCCCAAGAAGCTCGCAAAAGGCCCCGACGAGGTCCAACATCGAGCTTGAAGATGCCCCAAGAGACTCCAAGAGGCTTCAAGCTGCTTCTCTAGGCCTCTCAGATGGGGTCCGAGTAGATGGGGTCGGAGGATCGCGCCGCATCGACGATTCATCGACGACGCGGCCCGATGCGGAGCCCGATTTTCTCCACGCCGACGTCGCCGATGCATCGCCGATGCATCGCCGATGCATCGCCGATGTATCAATGATACGGCGCCATCCTCCGACCCCATCTATTCGGACCCCATCTAGGAGGCTTCTAGCTTCGAAGACGCCCCTGACGCTCCCAAGAGGCCCCCCCACGACGGCCCGAGAGAGGCCCGAGAGAGGCCCCCAGACGCTCCCAAACGGCCCCCTCCAGAGGCTTCTCGGCCGCCCTCGGCGCGGTTCCCGAGAGGCTTTCCACGAGGTGCCAGCGAACACCCAAGAGGCTTCTGGCACAAGGCCCATTCCTCGGGGGCCAAGAGGAGGAGTAGGAGGAGGAGAAGGAGGTGGCGGAGGAGGAGGGGGAAGAGGAGAAGGAGGAGGTCGAGGTGTGCAGGAACGAGGCCAGGTTCCGTGGCGGGATGGTCCGAAGGCCTATATATTTCAAGGGTTTCGCCCTCTGCCGCCGGCCCCCCCATTACTAGGGGGGGCGGCTGCGCGGGTAGCGTCCCGGGTCATTGTCTGGAGCTCCTGGGAGCCGCTTTGGAGGCTCTTGGGACATCGTTTGAGTCTCGTGGGGGTCTCCTTGGGGCCTCTTGGGGGCCTCTCAGGGGGGCCTCTTGGGGGCCTCTTGGGACGTTCTTGGGGCCTCCTGGGGCCCTCTCGGGGCGGAAAGGTGGAGTTTTCGGTTCGTGGGCTCCCTCTTGGGCCTCACGTGAGACCGTCTTACGGCCCTTTTGGGCCGTCTGGGGCGCCTCTTGGACCGCCTTGTGGGGCAGTCTTGGGGGCCTCTTGGGCCGTCATGGGGGCTTCTAGGGCCGTCGTGGGGCGATCTTGGGAACCTCTTGGTCCGTCTCGGAGCGTCGGAAAGCCGAAAAGGTGAGAAGGCAAAAGACCTTCAAAAGCGTTAGGAACATCGTTGTTTTTTTGCGTCGTGGGGCCCTCTTGGGGGGCCTCTTGGAGCCCTCTTAGACTGTCTTGGGCGTATCTTGGGCCGTCTTGGGGCCATAGTGGGACATCTTGGGGCCATCTTGGGACCGTCTTGGCCTCCCGAGGCGCTCGGGTGATCTTTGAGGCGTCTCGGGCCGCTATGGCCGCGCGGTGGCGTCACCATGAGAATCTCGGCCCAAGCGGGCTTCAAGACGGCCAATATGCCTTCAAAAAGACTGCAACGAGGAACTCAGGAGGCGACAAACGTTGTGTTTGTTCAGATTGTCCGTGTTCTCGCTGTGTCGTGCTTCCGACGGTCCAAGACAGCCCCGAGGCTGCAGAAATCAGCTCAAGACAGCCCAAGAGGCACCCAAAGAGGGCGCCACGACGGCGCAAGAGAACTCCAAGACGGCGCAAGAGTGCCTCAGACGGCCCAAGACGCGCCCAAGATCGCCCAAGAGGGCCCCAAGACGGCCCCAAGAGGGGCCCAAGAGGGGGAACACGATCCGGCAATTCGAATCTTCCGCCCCAAGAGGCCCCCAGGAGGTCCCAAGAGGCCCCCAAGAGAGCCCAAGAGGCACCCTAGAGGTCCCACGAGGCCTCAAAGAGGCCGAAAATATTCCTCCCTCACTCCGGTGGGTTTGCGCCCTCGTGCGTTCACAGGGCTCTTCTTCCAGCGCACTTGGCCAGGGGCCTTCCTGGGGCAATGTGCCGCCAGCTGCCCAGCCAAAAAGGCGCAAACCCCACCAGGGAGGGCGGGTGGGAAAACAGAAAAGGCCTGTGCGGCACCTTCCCACTGGCCTCAGCGGGCCCGACGCTCCAGAGCGGCGCCCTTCCGTTGGCCTCCACGGGCCCGCACTGGGCCAAGCCGCCCTTCCAGTGGAAGCGACAGACCAGACCGAAGACAGGACGACAAAGACAGACAGACAGGACGACGACACGCAAACAGACGGGCAGACAAGGACAGACAGACAGGACAACGACAGACAGACAGACAGACAAGCCAAGAGCGACGACAGACATCCGCAGCCCCTGGAAGGGGCACCGCGCCCTGAGGACAAGACGCACACCCCTCGGCGCAAACACAAATAAGCCCCCCAGAGGCCAAGAGTGGAAGAGTGGGCCACGAACCGTGTGTTCGTCAGATTTTCCTGCCCCCCAAACTTGCAGTTTAGGGGCGAAGAAAATATTCCTCCCTCACTCCGGTGGGTTTGCGCCCTCGTGCGTTCACAGGGCTCTTCTTCCAGCGCACTTGGCCAGGGGCCTTCCTGGGGCAATGTGCCGCCAGCTGCCCACTGAACCCCAGGAACGCCCTGGGCAACCAAGACCAGCCCATGTGAACGAGAGAGAACGTGCCCCTGTGAGAAGATGGTGACAGCCCAATGCAAACAGGTGCGTTTTCACTCTTCACCAGACGAATCAGAGAATTCGATCAAAAACTCTGCCTCCGCCACAGTACCACGCGCCTTTGCTGACGCGTATGCGAATGCAGTCACGCCCCTCCATCCTCCTGAATAGAAGAGCGCAGCCGGCCCTTTGGCTTCGATGACCTCTGTGGCCCAGCCTCGACGAAAAGCGTGCGTGCCCCAAGACCGCCCTTCGGCGAACCCCAAGGCTTGCGCGGCGATCTTCAGGCCCGCCAGAGAATCACTGTATGTGATCGAAGGAAACAGTAGACTACCATTCTCCACTTTTCCCTTGAGGATGCATGCGCCGCAGAGCGTTTTGCCCTGCAGGCCACATATGCACCTGCGAACAACCTCCACCGGCTCAGAGCAGCACTTCCTATTTAGGAACACAATCCGCACAGCCTCTGTTCCCCCGCGCGTGCTGTCTACGAACACCTTTGCCTGTGGAGCCCCCAATTGCAGCACTTCATCATAACGAAGGCAAAAATGACGTGCGACCACCCATGATTCGCCCAGCTCTGTCTGCCCATTCCGGCTACACCAGCGCGCAAGCTTCCGCGTCTGGTCTGCCGTGGCCCGGATCTTCATGCGGCGAATCGCCCTGCCAGACTTCTCCGCGCCCCGCACTATGCGAACGGTATCCTCCAGGGCGCCCAGAGGACTCCGTAACCACCGCAGTACCGTTCGCAAGTGAGACACATATCTGGACAGAGACGCCGCACTCCGGAACAGCACCACAAAGGCGTCGACGGTGGCGTACGTCGGCGGCCATGCTTCCAAACAGTGCACTGTGCAGCTGTGGCCATACAGCCGCACAGCCGAAGCATAACCTGCAGCACTCGCCTTCCATCCGCAAAACTCCATCCAGGCAGCCTCTTTGTTGAACAGGTCGTGCCCTGCGAGGCCCGCGCGCCTAGCCACTTCCTGCCGAGGGGACGCGGCAGGGGGCACAAACAACAGTGTGTCCGCGGCAGCCAGTGCCCGAATCGCTTCTGCAAGGACTTCTGGCTGGGGAACGCAAGTGCTCTTGCGAGCCGCGGAACACAAAACCAATGCCGCCATGGCCTTCTCCGTCTTCTCAACCATGTTGCCGTTCGCACTATTCGCGCCCGCGGCTGGCGGGGCCTGCGTGCCCGTTGAAGCAACCTGGTCCGTGGAACGGCGCGCCTCGCGGGTGGAATCCGCGAGGGCACACACAGCGGTAAACTCCCTGACGAACACAGGCGGCAATGGTTGCAGAGGCTTCCAAATCCACTGCGCTTCATCAGTTGAGATGCCCACAAAATCAGACGACGACGTGGCACCTTCTGCCAAAAGCTCTCTCTCTAGTGCCGCGGCGTCCACTGAGCAGCCAGATGCTGCCATCGCTCGCCGGAGCAGCGGGGACAGCCATGGCTCTGGACGTGCACGAACGTTCCGGGTTTCAGGCATCGGCAGGCTCGGTGCGCTCGCAACCTGGCCAGCACTCATGTGACCAAGCGCCGTCTTGGGCCAGATGCTTACGGACACGTGCTGGCATATGGCCCAAATCAGCTTTCACGGCAATCGCGACTGACATTTAGGCCACAATCACTCGGACACGGCAACTGCCCCAGATCAGGACCGAAAACGCATTCGTTCTCCCTTCTCGGCTCCACCAACCAGGGCGGCCAGACGCAGGGAACGCAACCGCACCCCCGGAAAACTCTCAGCGGTGCGCAGCCACACGCCCCAGGTCAATCAAACAATGGCCGCCCTCCCCTGGCGGGCAAATGTTGCCTGCCTTTTTTTTTTCAGCGCCGCTCACAGTTCACACTCCGGCCCGCCAAGGAAGTTGCTCTGGCCAACGCCATTCGACCTGCTGGAAGCCCCGCCCGGCGAGTTCCGCACGAGCAGTTGCAAATGTAGACTGCCTCGTTGGGCCGTCCGCGAGGTTTAGTTTTGACGGCACGCGGACGGCGTGCAGAAGAATGGCAGCCGTTGCAACTTGAAACCAAAAATCTGCCACTACCGCGTTGTAGTCGTCCTGCCGGCTTGCTCCGCGGACGAGCGTGTGCAGTGCCACATTGCTGTCTATAAAAAGAACTGCTTCGCAATCCTGGAGCCCCCTGGCTATGAGCATTCTTATACTGCAGACAGCAGCCACGAGCTCCCACAAGGAAATCTGCGTGCGGCGCGGCCTCGCCCAGGCCATTGCGGCATGTGGCACGGGCGCGGCTGCCCACAAGCGAGCAGAGGGATGCCATAAAACGAACGCCATCCAACCATCTCCAGCCGCGTCTGTGTAAATGAAACACCGCTTCAGCTCTCGTGGAGATAGCGGAATCTCGCAGGTCGGGCACGCCAAGAGAAACCGGCGCCACCAGAGCAGTGAATTCCGCACGCGCTTGGGCATGGCACTGGCACGCCGATTCGATTGCCAGTGCAACGCTGCAAGATAAGCGCGCGCACCGCGACCA